ATATGCCTTTTTCATGGTATATGATTCATTTTCTGGTTAGGGTTTTCGTGTTTGTTTGTTTCTTTTTTAACCTAGATTCATTCCCCGATCTTGAATCCAAAGGTCAGATCGATAAAATATGTACTGAAGTATTTTTCTTAAGCCTATTGAGTGATTTATTTTTAAAAAATGTTTAAATGCATATGCTTTTCTTTCAGCACATACAACAGCAAAACTTTTGTAACAACGAACTTACCTTTGCATGTATGGAGAACTGAAAGTTGTTTATTTCCGTAACTTATTCCTCTTTCAAATAACGAATGGCAGATCATAAACCGAAATTCTTTATTGTATCTACACACTCCACATTCTTTACCGTGTCCTACTACTGTGTCTTGGCTCCCTGCTATATTAAATATCATCCTGAGCACTTGTTCCAACAGGACTGCTTGGCATTTTGTCTTCCACTTGTCACTCAAGGGTTGGGACTTCAGCAAAAGAAATGAATCAGTCTGGATCACACCTAATACTAAGATTTAGTTCCTTTGATGGCGCATCATCTGATTTCTCTCTCACTAAGTGGGTCACTTTAGCAGAGGAGTGGCATATTAGCTTTATACTTGCTAAGACTAGACTGGTAATAAAAATAAGAATTTGGCAGTTAAAGTAGCATTCATTACCATATTGGTCTATTAAGAAGTGGGTTGATAATAATAGTTCTACAAATTCACGATAATAAAACATAGTTTATAAAAGGGGCTTGAAAGGTTTGTAAGCTTTCTCATATTCCTGTTGAAAGAATCATTTATTATTTCTTGGTCAATGTTAATAACCAATGGCAGAATAATTTTAATAGTGGTGCATCATGGGGAGAAATTATCAAGATATTATCTAATAGCTTCATCCTGAGAAAAGTGTGCATTTTTTTAGGGCATTGTTAATGATATGAGTGAAACCAAGAAAGTATTGTTCCCTTTGTAGATGGCCTGGGCACGCTTGATTTTTATTATTTATTATCAGTGTATTATCTCTGAATTTTATCAGAGTTATAGAAATTAAGTCAAAAGTCTCCTGACATTTTAATAGGGGTCAGGAATTTAGTTTTATTTTGGTTATCCTCAGGAGACTGCAGCTTTATAGTAACTTCCATGATGTTGAGTATGTCTAAGCTGGGGACTAGTTCTGTTCAGCCTGCTCCAGAGTAGTGGAAAACTATTCCTATACTACAGTCTTCCTACGCTTTCAGGGGCTGATTCTGAAAAGCAAACTATTACTACTGGAAAAAAAAAAAAAAAGACAGAAACTTTTACTTCAAGGAGTACTTTGCTAAAAATTTTGTTATTTAAAAAAAAGGAGGAGGGTGGGCTGGCATACTTTAAACAAAACCAGCCCTGAATTGCTGTTATTCGCAAAGTGTAATCCTTCTTAAAACAAACAGAAAACAACAGCAAAAAACTCCTGTAGAAGTTACATATGTTGCATTTATTTTATCAAAAATGTCCAAAGTGTGTCAATGAGTGTATCAATGAACCAAGTTGATATGTATAAAAAAATTCCTTAATATCTAAAATTTTAAGTCCCT